TGCCTATCTCCCCCCATCTCTGCCCTTTTGGCTGCCCCCCCCTACACCCCCCCCGCTGCCCCCAGCGGCTGCCACAGCCAGGTGCACCTTGTCAACAGCAGGAGGAAGAAGATGGCAAAGGTCAGTTAGGGCTGGTGGGGGGTGACATGGGTAGGCAGCAGTGGTGTAGTGCAGGGCAGCCAAAAGGGCAGAGATGGGGGAGATAGGCACGTGGGGGGAGCTGAAGCGCACACTGTGGTCATAAATGCAGTCAGGCTGCCAAGTGCCCAAATTTTGATCACGTGACTGCGGGGGCACTGCAACAGCCATACCTTTGAGGACCAGTCATAACTACCATTCATTCAGCATCGTCGTAACTTTGAATGGTCGCTGAACAAATGGTTGTTAAGTGAGGACTACATGTACATCATAATAGTCTAATTGTGTGCTGATAAAGACATGAGTCACTATCCTAAGCACTTCCTACCCCAAAAAAAGCCACAACTGGTGCACCAGCTGAAGCTAGGAAAAGATTCCTTGGCTGTGGCCTCTACCTGCTGCCAAAAGCGTTAGTTTTTCTCTTTATTGTTTTTCTGTTTTTAACTGTAAGGCATTCAGAATAGTTCTGGAGTCAGGCAGCCTCTAAATTTAAACAACAACAACAATAATAACCAGGAGCTATGAATCCTAAAGAACCCTCCAAGATGCAAACCTGCTCTACCAGGGGAGTGCCACTCCATCCAGAGCAAATCTAGAGCTGGGATAGAATTAGATTATTTTCCTATGAAAAGCACCTCCATCTTACTGGGATGCAGTTTAAGAATGCTTTGTTTTCTTTCAGTTCCTCACAGCCTCCAGTCACAAAGTAAGAACCTCCTCTACATCTTCAGCTCAGCCTGATATATCAAATGTATTGTACTGAAGATACCTCATCCCAGATGACCTCCACAAGAGGGCTCATGTAGCTATTAAATAAGATGAGGGAGAAAGATGAGCCCTAGAGCAATCATGGGATCAACTCCTCCTGCCCCAAAACCACTGACTGCAACCACAACTCTGGAAGAAATAGAACCTCATAAAGTGGTGCTCCCAAACCCCAGTCCTTCCAGCTGATCCAGAAGAACACCATGGTTTATGGTATCAAATGCTGCTGAAAAATCTAATAGGATCAGGAAGAGTGCACTCTGCCCATCCTAATCCCAATGTAGGTCATCTACCAGAGCAACCAATGCAGTCTTGGAATCATGTCCAGTTATGAACCTATCTGGAAGGGATCCATTTTACTTAGGATCCTCTGTAGCTGCAGCCCAATCATCTTCTCTAAAATCTCACCCCAAAACAGAAGGTTGGAGTCTAAAACAACTGCATTGTGACATGTTCAGGAATGATCATACCATGGCTTCCTTCAAAATGACTGGTACCCCCATTCCACCAAAGAGACATTAGTCACCTCCCAAGGAAAAGTGAAACAGTCAATGATACAAGATTGGGAGACCAAAACTGGTGAATGTGCAACAGTAACAAAACTGACACTATATAGTCATAATAGAAGTTTAACCAAATTTAAGTATGAATGGCTCCTGTATATACAACACATTACACAGCAAGGCAGATTTAGACATCTGGAGTATGGATTCTAAGAAAAGAGTCAAGAGACTAATTAAAAAGAACAGATGAAATTATTTAAACAGATATAAGCAAAAATTTCCAGTGCTTAATATTAAATATTAAAAGCATAGCATAAATATTTAAGTAGTGGTTAGTGGTTCGGGAAAAAGAATGGAAGGCAGGGGGAGACTGTGTCACCAAATTTTTCTTCACATTTTTTTTTACTTATGTTCTATTTTTCATTCTGCTTTTCGTATCCTTATTCTTCACTCTTTTAAGCTATGCAATATAATAAAAATTTTAAAAATCACCTCCTAAATCCAGCCAAACATACTTGTGGTTGCAGCCAAGTAGAGCATACTACAGAGAATCCTATCCACTTCCTCAGACTCCACAAGTTCAAAAGAATCCTTCATGACTTGGCAAGTTATTGTCCCAATCATCTTGCTACACTCTGCCCAAGTGGCGTCCCACCTAGAGTAAATATGAGCAATTCTATCTACAAAGCATCTTGCAAACTTATCACAGTGTCTGCAGAAGTAACATCTCTCCCACTCTTTCCCAAGAGGATGCAGGCAACCTTGAACGTGGCCTCTGGCTGAGAATATGCAGACAAAATAAGAGCAAAGACTTACACATGCTTCACCACACATGGGCATCATAACCAATCCTCCATCCCTGCAGAGGGTGAGCAAACCAGCAATTCCAACAATCTGATCACAGCAAAAGATTGATCACAGTGTCTTCCATCTTCACAGAATCCACTGTCTGCTCCAAGGTGAAACCTGTATCTAGCTATGTGTTGGGTCTGAGATCATCTGGGATAAGCCTGTGACATTCTGATCTTATTCTGTTCCCAGACCTAGTGCATGCAGTTTGAAATCTCGTAGCCTGAAGGACTCTAGCATCAGCTTAGCTGTGAGAATCAGGAACCCAGGCAAGGAGGGTGGGCAGCAGAGTGGTCAGTATGTCAACAGCAGATGGACTATGCAGTATTATCCCTTAAGAGAAGCAATTAGTGAAGTTTTCTTATTCAGGTTGGGAAAAGCTGCCCTATGTTTTTTAAACCTGCATTTTTTTCATTCTGCCTTCAATGGACTATGCAACCTACCTTCTTCCAGTACAGCCTGCCAACTGTTTCAATGAAACCACCAATATATCCTGTTTAGTCTTCTTTTCATTAAACTAAAATAAAGCAAACCAAAACTAGACTTTTTTTCTTGGCTGCTTACTTGCCCCATTTAACTCTCTTTACTATTCTAGACAATCATAACTTCACAGTACTGCAATAGCCACTTCTGTCTCCATAGCGCTGCATACAACAGATGCTCCAGCAATATCACATTGCCCAAAGTTGTGTACCAATGGGGAGATCCAGGGGCAGAACATTCTGTACCTACCACAACCATGATAAGATATCTGACTTTCCTTGAAAATTGTCAACAACATTGGAGAAACAATGAAGCATTCCACTAACATCTGTTTTTCTACAAGCCCTCACCCACCCCACTCCTAATATTCAGCCAACTGAGAGATTCAACTATCTCCTTTCGATTTTTAAAACAATAAATGGCCAAGCAGAAGTGCAACTTCAAATCAGGACCAGAATCAGGACCAAAACAATGCTATATGAAAAACAGTAACCAACAATGTGCTTTGGCTTCAGCTTTGCCCATTTCTCTTGATGTCATGTCAAACTTTCAGAAACATAGATTACCTGTTATTCTCTCTTGGCAGTGTTCAATTTGTTCTGTATTTCTTATTCTGCCAGATCAATACAACTTTCAAGACTTCTGCACAGTTTACACCGAGTGCCATTATACTAAAGCATTGTATTACTTTTGATTGTATTATCTCAGACTGCAGGTGGAGGTTACATTTTTGGATGTTGCACTACACAAAATAAACACACCCTACAAGTAAGAAGCTATCACTTATGGAAATTCTTGGCCATTCTATTTCTTGTTAAGTTTCCTACCTGAAAGGAAAGCTTGGGCTTTGTTTTTGGTTTTAAAATGCATTCAGAAATGTGAACTCCCACCTGTAGTCTGAAGTGGTACAGTCCATTCTACTGCCTCATTCCCACCGCATTTTGCTGTGTGTGTAGACCAATCCTGAAATCACCAAGGAAGACTATTATGTAATTATCCTGGGCAATGTATTCCTTTGCTGAACTTCTCAGCAGATCATGATTGCTGCAGAAGAACCAATTTTAAATCAGGAGATTCCAGAATAATATAAAGTGTGGAAGCAAAAATATGCACATCTATTTGAACACCTGTGCACACATATTTTAAAATACATGTATGTATTTGTTAGATTTATATATCATCTTTCCTTCAAAAGCTCAAGGCGGCATATGTAGCATCCATTTTTCCCCCACATCAATCCTCTTGTGGATTAGGCTGGGCTGAGAGACAAAGATTTCAAAATCACTATGAGCTTCCATGATGGAACCTCTCTAATCATAGTTCAGCACCTTAACTATTGCACCACTACTGCTCTATTATTTACTGTATATTTACTGTGCAACCATCAGCAATTGTAAGAAATTACGAGACTACTGCAATACCTACAATATTACCCAAGAATGAGGAATCTTTCTTTTAATTCCAGCAATAGGCATAACTGAGCTAGGAAAGATCCATGAGTAATCTCAGTCAATATTCCATCCTAGCAATTTTCATCTAAAGGATCTCTAGCAGATGTCAATTCATTCCTGTTTCCTCCAGCAATCTTATAGAACGGCAGTTTTATAAATATCAAAAGGACAACTAATTCAACTTCACCTCAAGAAAAAAACATCCAATCCTTCTACTTCTGGAAGTTTACAACTGGCCTTAGACAGGATTGCACTCTTCCCATGTAGAAGTTCTCTGAATATAATAACTTATAGAAGTTCTCTATAATAACTGAAGGCGGCTAGATGCTATAGAGTAGACTTGTCGAGAAACTTTGTCTCAATTATCCATGCATAATGACTAGGTTTAAATACCATTATGTGTTCCATGTAACCTTGCCTTGAAAGATTATTTGGAGCTACCGAAGTGGCTCCAAATATCTAGATCATGTGACACCAATATTATGTTCCTAACTCCAATATAAAGTGCTGGTTTGAGGCTGTAAAACCTTAAATAGTTTTGAACTATGAATATTGAGCTGCCCACACCTTGAGTTCTTCCTTTTTACCACCATAGCTGAATAGGGAGCTTAAGGGAGAGACCCCTTTCTACAGTAGCCCCCAAGAGAGGAAAGTTCTAATGTTCCATTAATTTTCTATGGCCTTCTTCAATGTGGTTTTTGGTATTCAATTATGTCAGCTATGTTTTAAATATTAGAACTCTCATTGCTAAATGTTTCTTATTGTTGCTGGGTTTTATCGATTATATGATTGTTGTATTTTATTATAGAAGTCAGTTTTATAAGGGCTTTTGCCCTTAAAAGCAGCCTTTAAATAAATAAATAAAATAAACATACACCAATAGATGAATCCCAGATTACACCATACTTAGAGAACATTTGTTGTCATAGAAAGTATTTGAAGAACAAACAGATCCAAATCCATACACAAAAGATTAGGGTGACTTCTTCCTTGTCTTCTGCCTGTGTACTTCCATGCAATACATGGATGGCCACATGTACTTCCTATGTTTAAATGCAGACATCTACAGGAGAATTGCTCATCGGCCTCCCCAGCAATAGCTTAATGTTTTCTTGTGCACACACAAGCAACCAAAAGACTAGAGGGGAAAGAGAAGGAAGGGAAATGGCTCTATGAACACACAGGAAAATACATCCTCAGATTTTATTTTTATGGGGTAAAATAAATAATGAGATATTTCTGGTATCAATCCTTTTATACTTATGGAACTTTTACACTTTTTTTTTTAACAGCTGAATGTACTGCCAGAAGATTGTGTATTCTATGCCATGGCACAGAAACCATCTTGACCCTGAATAGATGCCATTAAAGTCCCAGATATTGCTAATCAGGCTATGGTTCTTTACAGAAAGTTATCACTTTGTGGGTAACCCTTGGGGTACCCAGGAAACATACTCCATCTGTGAAATCTGCAGAATGATTATGGAAAAGAAGCAGTTCCATGACATTTATTTATTTTATTCAATAATAAAGTGTTGATCCTTAGTGCTAAGTACTTTGGGAGATTTGGGCTCATAACAGTATAAATATAAGTAGGGCTAATTACTTCACAGAGTAGGATTCAGCCCAACTCAAGTCTGTGCTATGGTTAAATATCCCAGTTTTTGCAATACAGAATGGATTTCTGTCTTTCTCACTACACCAAGTTTATTTCAAATAGTTTTCAGCTTGCTGCAGGACAACTGGGAGGAAACATGGAAAGTCCCTTTCCTCAAACAAATACATAGGCAGAAGTGTACACATTAACTAAGATCATGTTTGTGCAAGTACCTTTATAGATGAAGAATACAATTTATGGGGAAGAAATAGGAGGAACCAAAATAAAATTCTACATGGGACTCAGGTGCCCTTTCATTTTGAATTGAAATACACCTCCTATTAAAAAAAAACCCAACAGATTAAACACTCTTTGTTGCTCCTTTTCCTATCTTTGCTGATCCTGCTTTATGGGAAAACACTGGAACCAATATGGGACCAAATCTATGTATCCCACATATCTCAATCAAAAGAATGAATTAACTATGGTGAGATACCCAAATCACTTTCACATTTAGCTAGAACCAGCAAAATAACTTCCACTTCCACTTAATTTTAAGAATGGGAGGCTAACCTCAAATTCTGTTTGTTGAGCACTGGCATCCTAAATTTCAATATTTTGCACTTAACCATAAGGTTTGCCCATGGAATATGTAATACTAATATTACTATATGTAACAATAAAGAAGAGCATGCACAAATGAAAAGATACACTTATTACTGATGTGTTTCAGTAATGGGCAAAACACTGAAGACAAATGGTGAGGTGGAACCTTGGCAAACACAGTTCTACCAATGGATTTCTTCAAAAAAGGAAGTTGGACCTCAGCTTTGCTAAGAAAGTCGGTGCCTAATTTTCTAGTGAGAAAAGAGGCTTCTGCAGTTCTTCAATGATGAGAAGCCATCACTCTTCCTATGATTAGGAGCACTCTTTGTTGCCTACAATTACTGTGGCTAAGCTCTAGGCTAAGGCTTGATTTAAATTAAATCATTACCACAATCTTGTAATTACTTTCAACAAGGAAATGCTTAAACATATAGCCAAGAATGGAAACAGAGTTCTATATATTATTTCAAGGAACCAGCATTATTTGCACATCTGATCTACCATCAGCCTCATATGGGCCAGATTCTATGAAACGCCAGGTCCCTTTGCTGCAAACTCAGATGCCACTGTTTATGGGCACCCTCCTACAGGCTAAACATCCCAGCCACTCGGATGAGAAACTAAGCAGATATTTGACTGTTTTAACCACAGTTACTTTAAAGACACATTTCACAGATCTGCATAAAGCTTACCTGCCACAGGTATGGCATGGATCTGTGCCCGTGACAGGAGTTCCAATGATGGCTCACGTCCAGAAACTCCATCTGAAGAGAAACATGATTCAGTTTCGTAAATTGTCTGCAACATCTCTGGCAGTCCCCACACTGAGGATACAAGAAGCATGCCAAAGAACGATTATGCGCTGTCGTTATTCCACTTCAGTTTGCCTTGATGACAATCCGTTGCAAAACTAAAGCCTTCAAGGGGGTGTCTGTTGTTATGCTAGACTGTCACCTCAACCCATCCAACATCCCCCTCCTAAAACAGCTGCAAACACGCAGGCATCCATCCTCCTTGTAGAAGAGTATCCTTGAGAAAGTTAAATTGTTTCACAGCGGTGGTGCCGGTGGTGAGGAAACCCCCAAGACTAAATCAAAGCTGTCAGGAGAGGAAAACAGAAACGCTTGCAGATGAAAATCCCCTTGCAAGAAGGTAGGAGCAGAGGGGAAAACCGCTTCCTCAACTCCTGAGCGAAAGGGACAGGAGTTGCAAGACGCAGGAACAGGCAGAGGCGAAAGATAACGGAAAAGGAGGAAACGGCTTATATCTTAGCCATGGTTTACTTCACTCTGAGAAGGACAGATTTAGCAACATCTTCTGAGAACACGAGAGAGGTTTCTGAAAAACAGAACATCCCTAGAGGATAGATTTAGTTTGAAGAGGAGATTCCTGAAAAACAGAGCTGCAGCTCCCTGTCACTCTTACAAAGGGCCCATTTTTGTGAGATTGCAAGAGTCTGCTCCCGTCTCACAATTGTTTCCCAACCCAGCCACCAAATGAGATGGCTTCTGCCGGGGGTGACCTGAAATAGAATGTCAGGGAGGAACCAGCTATAAATAAACTCAGCTGAGCTCTCTCGAAGCAGGGAGGGTTCAGGCGAAAGGAGCTGCCTGCCTATCAGAAGCTGGATTTCAACCACAGGGGTCAGCGGAAAAAGATTCCCTGAGGGAAAGGCTGTGCCGCCTGCCTGCCGACCAAGAAAAGGAAGGCGAGCAAGAACAAAAGGGAGGGGAATGACCGTTTCTGTGTTCTGGATGCCAGAGTCCACCTACGGACATTGCCTGGCTGGTTAAAATGCTTATTCAAGCACGGGGATCATTGAAACAACAGCAGGAAAATGCCAAAGGCTATAATCTTAACTCCGTATTTGCAGAAAAGCAAAGCTGTGTACAATCTGCTAAAAAATTTTAAACAGAAGGAAAAAACCACAACAACCAACGAGGTAACTACAATTATGTCCTTAAAAGCAAACAGCATGTGTCCTGGATAAATTACATATTCTGAGTGTATTAACACATTTCTTTATTATTACTGCTCCTAAAGAGTGACCCAAAAGAGTCAGATACATTTTATATTTTATCTGATGCAAACAATAACGTTCATTAAACATTGCTAAATTCTGTCAAAAGAGCAAAGATACTTGATTAGCTGAAGAACAGATAAACATGGAGATGGGCAACTAAATTCAGTGAAATTGCTGGAATGATCTGCTTGTGATCTTTTTTTATATATATTTCCGTTCTTATACTTCCAACTAATTTGGGTATTCTACAAGTGTGTGGACCAATCTCCAGAATTCTCAGCAATAGCCAAACTGGCTGGGGAATGCTGGGAGCTGAAGTCCATACATCTTGAAGGCACCCAGATTGGAGGCGGCTGTAAGAAGACATCAACAAGAAGTTATCCCACCCCCTAAACACACACACACACACACACACACACACACTTTTTATATCTCTAGCCTCCCTTCCACAAGAGCAGGGATACACAGCATGTAGCCCTCCATTAGCAACTCCCATGATCACTTGCCATTGATCATACTGGCTGTGGACAACATGATTTGGAACTCAGCATCATCTGGAGGACCACAGGTACTTCATTTCTGCTATATCCTGCAACACCGTCCCACAAAGGATGAGCCACACTGTTTAAAGAGCTTATCCCTGTGTTATAAGGATGCAGCCTTAAATTGTAAGATGATCTCTTCAATAATGCCTCACTAAATGCAGAGACAGTTGCAAAGGTTCATGCTTTTATTTTTCAGTTTCATTGAACAGTTTCAATGAACGAAAGTCAACGACATATACCCTTTCAGTTACCTAAATTCAAGCAAGCTCTATTGGTCCCCTAGCCCATGTGGGTAGCTTCCACTTATTATCTCCTGCATATCAATTTGTCTGTGACTCAGCTGATTCAATGTAAAAGTTAGCTCCTCTGTAACCCACCACCTTTCTTGCTTTTACTCCATACAAAACCAAAGCAATGCCCAGCGAGCTTTAGAGCACGTGAGAATGCAACTGTGCACTACAAAACACCTTAAAGTTAACTAGCCTTCCTCTGTTCCTCACCTTTTAAATGAAGTATTTCAAGACAGTTCGTGTAAATAACTGAAGGTTTTACCAAATATACTTAAAATAAAGGAAGGCCAATGAACAAACTTTTGTAGCAGAATACTTACTTAATATTTAAATAATATTATTTAAATAAATATTATTTAAATAATAATATTTTCATACAACTAAATGCAACACTCCTGAACTTCACAACCAGCTAGATCTGCACCCTCACCAGATTAAGTAATGGGATGCATCTGGCTTGTGGGCTGTGGCACCAACAGTACTCAACTAGATGGAGAGTTAGTCTAAATGTTGCTGATAAAGTAGCAGTATCTACATACCTTCCAATGACATTGAATTCATAGATTATAAAAAGAAATGAAGTTCTTTCTCCTTAGGAGCAGATCACATGGCAACAGATCTGAGGCCTGCAGTTTAAGCCAACAGGTTTAAGTTGTTGATGTTTTTCCAGGTTCTCTTTTTTAAAAATAGCTCTTCCTCAAGCTTCACCTAGCCTTTGGACCTGGCTATCCCATAGTGTAGAATAGGAGCTGACATTGGAGATTGGAGAGATGGGAGCCATAGACAGGGACCAGGGCCAGGCCAAGCCAAGCCAAGCCAATTTGTAATCCCACTAAAGCCAACATTTATTTCACTTTATGGGACTTTTTGAGTAAACTTAGTATTCTACACATGGTAGAATAGTTTGGCACTTAATTCCCTCAGGACCTACACTAAAATTTGGCTCCTCACAAATATCTTTGTTAAAATGTTTGTACATGATGTATTTTTACTCTGTGATTATGTTTGCCAACACTTTTCTTGGTACACTGTTGATACTGTTTTTATTTTGAAAGGCATTTTGAGCCGGTAGGTAGGTAGGTAGGTAGGAAGGAAGGAAGGAAGGAAGGAAGGAAGGAAGGAAGGAAGGAAGGAAGGAAGGAAGGAAGGAAGGAAGGACCATTTCTGTGTGGTGACCTGTCCATCAAGTAATATAGTTGGCACTGCCAACAAAGAGATTAGCAATGCTAAAGATATTCCAAGCCTTCCTTGAGCTTTAGTCTTCATTTTAAACAAAGCAATCTGTAGCCTTCTTGACCATGAAGGTTAGGAAAAATATTAAGGTAATATTAAACCTATACAGCCTTACATGGCATAGGACCAGACTATTTGCAGGACTGCCTTTCTCCCACCAGATCTAGCAAAGAGGGCTTGCTGCACATCCTTTCTATCAAACAATGTCATCTTGTTGGACCTCAGAGTTGTGCCTTTCAGTGGCAGTGCCTGCCCCATGGAACAACATCCCCCACCCTGAGATTCAGATGGCCCCAATCCTGTTAGCTTTTTGCAAGGCACTGAAGACCTGGCTGTTTTCTCAGGCATTTGGGTCAGCAGGTTTAGAGAGTAAGGAAAATGACCTTCATAGAAATATGCAAGAACTGTTACCTAGGCAAAGAGCGCCGACACATTTTCTAAGCCACTAGCAACAAGATAATATTCAGAAGTGGCTCAGGCAGACACCGCCCTTGATTCCCCGGAGTATAATAATGGGGAAGAGCTCCAGCACAATCAGACTTGCAAGATTCTGTTATTATAGCTAATCTCAATAAAAGTAGTTCCAATGTTCCTATAAAGTTGATTTTCTGGTCTGGTTTACTTAGTGGGGATGACAAAAGGGTAGATGAGCTCTGCTGTTGTTGATGTGGTTTTTTGTGAGTGGGGTTAATATTTTATCCTTGGGTGCCAGGAGCTGTATGTTGTGGTTTTGTCTTTTAATCTTTGTACGCTGCCCAGAGTCACCTATGTGAGATGGGCAACCAAATAAACAAACAAACAAACTCTCCTGTCACTCATTAAGAATACAATTAAGTATTATGAATATATTGAGCTACCTGTATTCATGGTTCGGTCAGAGATTCTTCTTAGGTTTTATTTTTTATTTATTTATTATTAAATTTGTATGCCGCCCATCTCCCCCCAACAGA